CACAAACATAGCTCTTGTAATTAACATATAATGTAGCTGAACTGCAAGGCAGCACTTTGCTATACCAAAGAGTAACTGCACATTTCCCAGTCTAACAGGAGCACCTATTTTAGTATGATTTGATTGTTGCAATTAACAGAGCTGAAATGGTATGAGGCGATAGGACATCAGGAAGCTGAATATGTTAGTGTGTTAAATGTTTATAACATAGCTCTTGTAATTAACATATAATGTAGCTGAACTGCAAGGCAGCACTTTGCTATACCAAAGAGTAACTGCACATTTCCCAGTCTAACAGGAGCACCTATTTTAGTATGATTTGATTGTTGCAATTAACAGAGCTGAAATGGTATGAGGCGATAGGACATCAGGAAGCTGAATATGTTAGTGTGTTAAATGTTTATATTGGCTTTCCTAGAACTGCCCAGGAAGTAATCCTGTTGAAGAAACACAGGCAATGGGTTTGATTCTCTAGCCTTGCTGTGAAAACTGGTAGCATTTTACATCCACGTCATACACGTGTAAATCAGCAAGGAAAGTAGGATAAGGCCAGATAGAGATCAAGGCTGAGATTCCTGCAACACCAATCCTAAGTGATGTACTTAAGGCGCTGCTTCCTGAGAGTTGCATGGTGATGTTTACTTGTTTCCTGAGCCTCTGTCAGTGCCTTGTTTGCATGTATCCTAGAGTGCTCCCTCTTCCTGTCCACACCAACTCCCTGTCCCCTTAGTTTCACAGACAGTCACACTAAGTACTAGGTATGCTCTGTATTTTTCTTGCCTCTAAAAGTAGCATGGGAGGAGGCTGTGCAACGAAGCCATAAAGCTGCACTTTGATTCCACTAAGCTTCTCATACTCCAGTGACATTACGCTAGTCACACAGGTAAGAGTTGGGCCTTAAGAGTTGGGAACAATGTTCCCTCTAAGCTGCATGTCCCCTCCCTACCAGCTCCTCAGGGAGCTGCTGCTGTAGCTGAGGAAGAAATACAGAAGACTTCCGATAATCCGGAACCTATGGGACCTAGGTGGTGCCAGATTATCAGATATGCCGGACTATCAGGAGGTACTATAAGCTGGTTTTTTATTTATACTATATAGATATATAGTATACATTATATACTGTATATAAAATGTTCTTAACCCTTTTTTATTGTACATACTGTAATGTTAGTTTTTTAAGCCTTTTTGCTCAGTTCAGCTGCTGCCGCTGTTACCTTGTGACTCATTTTTTGCCGAAGCTCCCTCACTAGGCTCTTGCCATTTTGATGCCGGACTAGCAGGAGTGCCGGACTATTGGATGCCAGACTATTGGAGTTTTACTGTACCCCTCTCCTAGCCAGGCAGCTCCCTGCCTGGAGCACTAAGACCCTGGCTGGGCAGAGCTCATTAAGCAGCTGTAGGGCCGTGCTACCATGCAGCTTACATGGAACCTTGGCTGGGAATTGCAAAGCAAGCTTGTGGTTTTACCAGGGGTTCCCCCATTTGCTTGTAGTACCCCAGCAGAAATTTGTCTTTATGCCAGGTTCCCATTAAATCGTGCACAATTCCCCGATCAATCTTCAACTCCAGAAAAGGAGGCAGCTATGCACTGGGCTGTAATTCAGATCTTTCCATTTGTCCAGACTAAGATGTATATTGGTATTTTATTCCTTGAAGAGGCAGGCCAGATATTTAAAATGCTGTAAATTTACAGCAATCTTCTCCTAAACAATAAGCCTAAATATGGCAACATCTTCATGGCATGGACTGATTTATGTTTGGTCTGTGGGATCTCACCTCTTCTCTCCTCCTTACCACTGCTTTTGCAAGGAGGCTTCAGTCAAATGTAGTGAGCCATCTTCATGCCATCTGAAGCTGACCTCAGAATGGAGAGTGTTTAATCTTGGCATTATCCAGAGAGTAAAGTATATTTGCCAGTGTCTGAACACCAGGGGAGCAAGACAGCTTCCTTGGACCCCTGGGCATGGGATGTGGTGGGGAGGGAGGCAGTGGAGGGCCAAGTCAGCCAGCCCTAAGCACTACCAGGACTGTCATACTGCCCCTTCCCCAGACTGTAGCACCAGAGCCCTGGGCACTTTTGAATTGTTGGCCCTTGTGGCAAAGAGGGTAGTTACCCCCTTCCACCCTCCCATGCCACTCCCTCCCCCCATCAGTGGGCCTGCTGGGCTCCCATAATAGAGGATCGTGAGGTCGCAATTTCCAGCCACTAAAGGATACAAGTGCCGAGGGTGAGGGAGGAGGCCCATCTTGGAACTTAGCAGGGTTGCAAAATGTGAAATGCTAGGGTATACTGTTGGATTTTCCCAACACTGAGTTCTACAGCATTTTGCTTGTCTTCTATTACAGCTCCAACTAAGAGGGTATGGACTCAGTTCTATCCCAGTGGGAAGGTTTGCATGAATTTCAGCAGCAGAGTGGCACCCTGGTCTAACACAAACTCATTTTGCTGTCAAAGAATCACGTAGAAGTAGAGGACAAAAACCTTGTGCCAGACTGGCTCCTAGCTTTGTGTTGTGACAACAGTCGCTCTACATGGGGCCGTTCCAGTTTGTGTGTCTGTGGCTATTTGAGTTCCCTGTGACAAGTTCCTTTCATGTTAATTGCATGTATCAAGTGGCGAATACTAACCTTGACACTGGTGTTGCACACTCAGGCAGCTGTTTTCTATTGGAATCCAACTGTAGAAAGCAAAACTTATTAGATCAGTGTAATTTTCTCCCTAAGAAAGGGAGCTGATCTCAAACCATTCTGGCTGCCCTTTTTTTCTCCCTATGAGGGAGGGGTTCCATAACTATCATGGGACTGCGCTCCTTCCCTCCTGTTAGCCAAACTAGTTTTCTGTCAGGCAGAAATCAGAATATTTCTGACCCACCCAGTCTCCAGAAATGTTCCAGTACTGCAGCCAGCATGCTGGAATTAAACGAACCAGAGAGCTAAGCAGTCAATCAAAATTAGCCACAGTTCCAAATACTCAGAGGCCAGCAGACATCTATTAAATATTCAGTGGAAGCACAGACCTTCTTTTTTTTATTAAAACAGCTTTGACTGTGGAAACTTCCCTTGTAAGTGAGATTTGAGCATGACTGGCTCTTTTGAGAGGTCAGGTTGGAAACCATTCAGTTCGGAGGGGGTAGCATTCAGTTACCCCAGGTGGTAGTCAGCAAATGAAATATTCACTCCTCCCCAGAGAAATGGAGCTGTAAGGCAAGAATGCCTTATTATGATCACTCCTAAAATGTGCGAGTGCCATTTACCACAAGGAATAATAAGCAGGAATATTACTGTACAATGCTTTTTGATGGTTAGTGAAGACTGAATAACGGCCATAAGATGGAACAGACACACACGTGTTTGTGTTGGCAAGAAACATGAGCTTGAACCCAGTGAGAGAGTTTACTCATTTAATATTGCGGTTTGAGTCAGTTGGATATTTAAAAAAAAAAAACCCAGCAGAGTTGGGTTGGGTCAGTTCTTAGAGGCCGCCTCCTATGGGGCAGTAAGCAAGTTGTAGGTTGCTGCTGAATACGGTGGTGAATTCACTAGATAGCCTGCTCCTCCCTGAGCTGGGACAGAGCCAGTGACCCCAGACAGACCTAGATAGAGCCCTGCAAATCCACAGATATCTACAGCTCATTTCTGCAGCTCTGGATGAGGAT